GTAGGAGGTTCGTGGCTGGAGTGGGGAGTGGAAAGAGATGTAACAGACACTAACTCGTGATCAGAATTTGTCAAGAGGGCAGAGATGCGTAGGGTAAGAAGAATCAGGGGTGGAGGTAAAAGTGACATCGAGAAGGGAAGCAGTACCGTCTGGGTTACTGGCGAAACGCGTAGAAAAATTAACCAATTGCGTGAGGGATGGAGTGATTGAAAAGTTATGGGTTTGTATGCCACCTAGATCAGTTACCGACTGTTTAAGCTATATGGTCTGGTAAGTCAACTAGCAGAGAATATGTTTACAAACGTATGTAGAGAAATGACTTTGTCTATATCATCAGAAATGCTATCAAGTCCACAACAGTCTTGAGAGGAAGGGGAACGGCAGAGAAAGAAGAGATAGACGGAGACACATATACAAATGGTCTGGCGATTCCAAGACCATGCATGTGACTTTTAGAGTTCTTTCTAAGGAGAGGAAGGTAGCCAGGAATCGCGAAATATGAGGAAAGGATTGCCGATTTAAGGTTAGTCATGCAGAGAGTCAGTATATCAAGAGACTTATCAAAGAGGAACGATTCCATACTGCAGAATTTGGTACAAATACCCCGGATGTTGGAGAAGGAAGTGTTAAAGGGTTTAGGTGATTTTATTTTGAGTTGGTCAGTTACCGACTGTTTAAGCTATATGGTATGGTAAGTCACCGAGCAGAGAATATGTTTGTAAACGGATGTAGAGAGATGGCATGGTCTATATTATCAGAACTGCTATAGAGAATAACAAAAGTCTTGAGAGGAGGGGCAACGGTAGAGAAAGAAGAGATAGCTTACTGAATTGAGGAGAGATAGACGCAGGCATATATACGAATTGTCTGGTGATTCCTAAAAGCAAACTAACTTTTCTTCATTGAGGACACGAGACAAAGAGACATATGTCCCTCCGTTACAAACGGAAGAAGAAGTGATTCCTATGGGCTATAGCAGCTGAGCAAGCAGGTGAGAACCAAGATGAGTCCAATTTAATTTGGTATTTTCTTGCAGGGATGAAAGCCTCGATGCCGGCTTTTAGCCGGGAGGGGGGAGACCTTAGACTCACATTTTTGTACGGAGTGATTAAAAACCACATTCCAAAGGACTTGCGAAGGAAATCACGGAATGAGTTCCATTCTGCGCGTTGATAACAGAAATATTCTTTTAGTAGGAGGTTCATGGCTCGAGGAGAAGTGGAAGATGTTAACAGACGCCATTGCAAGATAAGGGTCAGTTACAGAGTGTTTAAGCGAAATGGTATGGTGGGTATTAAAGTCAACGAACACGAATATGTTTACAAACGGATGTAGAGAGATGGCTTGAGAGGAGGGGAAACGGTAGAGAAAGAAGAGATAGCTTACTGAATTGAGGAGAGACAGACGAAGACACTTATACGAATGATCTGGATATTGCAAAGAGAGTTCTCTAACCAGCGGAAGATGATCGCGGTCATAAACACCCAGGCCATGTATGTGGATTCTAGAATCCTTTCTAAATAGAGGACGGTAGCCGGGAATCGAGAAATCAGAAGGGATTGCCGAGTTAAGGTTAGTCTCGCAGAGTGCTCGTATATCAGGAGACTTATCAAAGAGGAACGATTCCATACTGCAGAATTTGGTACAAATACCCCGGACGTTGGAGAAGGAAATGCTTAGGTGATTATTGAGCTGCTTTAGGTTTATATTTTTGTTTGCTTATGGTCATGTTGAATTATGTTGGTAAGAAAAGGCCTAAAGTAATAATTTTAAAAAAAAGACTTAAAAATCGTTTATTTTCCCGGAAGAGGCACAGAGTTTGCTGCCGAAACACGAAAGCTCTTGTGTAGCTGTAACATGTTTCTGTTTTAATCTCTTATAAAGAGCATATTGAGGGCAAGAGAGATATAGGAAAGCAGCGAAGCATTATCCAACGAGATTCGTGAATGGATAGCGGAACAGTGTTGGGGACAGGGGCCTTTACAAAGGGACAAAAAACTGTGAAACAAGATAGGAAGTTGTGGAGAGCCTTGGTCGCCTATGTCATGAAGGATCGTGGCAAATAGAAGTGTTTCTAAGACATGTCTCTAGTTATACGCTGGAGAAACGTTATGGTAAAATTTGGCGACCTCAGACTGACCTTACTCAGATATTATCAAAACCTCATTCATATATTATCAAGACTTCATTCAGATATTATCCTGACTCTACTCAGATATTATTAAGGCCTCACTCAGATATTATCAAGACCTAACACAGATATTATCAAAACCACACTCATATATTATCAAGACCTCATTCAAATATTATCCTGACTTTACTCAGATATTATCAGGGCATCACTCAGATATTATCAAAACCTTACTCAGATATTATCAGGGGTCTCAGTCAGATATTATTAAGACCTAACAGATACTATCAAAACCTCACTCATATATTATCAAGACCTCATTCAGATATTATCCTGATTTTACTCAGATATTATCAGGGCCTCACTCAGATATTATCAGGGCCTCATTCAGATATTATCAAGACCTCACTCAGATATTATCCTGATTTTACTCAGATATTATCAGGGCCTCACTTAGATATTATCAAGACCTAACTCAGATTTAATCAAAACATCACTCATATATTATCAAGTCCTCATTCAGATAGTATCCTGATTTTATTCAGATATTATCAGGGCCTCACTCAGATATTATCAAAACCTTACTCAGATATTATCAAAACCTCACTTTTTTCATTCATATCCGTTTGTACGGAGAGTGAGTCCGAAAATCAGCAAGCACATATGAAAAACCTATCATCATACGGGCATTAGATTCTGAGAAATGGATAAAAATATTCGAAACTGATGGGTCTAGGAATAATTTCGTTGCTGACTGTATATCAGTTAAGTAAGTGCAGACGCTTAAATATCTGGCAAGCGTTTTAACTGAGGATGGGAAATACGACACAAAGATCCAAACAAGATCCATTTGACTAGCGAAAGAAGCATTCCAAAAATTAGTCAAGGTAATGAGAAATGGAAAAAAATACGTTAGAAACAAACAAAAGAATGCTGGATTGCAATGTGATATCCATCATGTTATACGGCACTAAATGTCAAACAATCTCCCCACGAATGAGGAAAAAATACGAGAGATAGCAGAAATGAGGTTCTCCCGAAGGATACTAAAAATTCAACGGACAGTGAGAGTAAGGGACATGGAAGTCTTAAAGAAAATGGCAACAGAAAGAAGACTTCTACTCAGAATCAGGGATAAAACAACTGAAAGTCAATGGAAAAAATAAAGAGGAAGGCGAACTCGGAAAACTTAATCCTCACAGGGCGTATCGATGGCAAGAGAGATAGTGGACAGCAGCGAGCCACTTACCTGACAAGTGTAAATCGATGATGGAACGGAGTGGGGAACTTAGCATAGGAAGAAAGACTGCTAAGAGTCACACGAGATAGAATGTTGTGGAGAACCATGACCGCCTATCTCACATAGAAGATGATGAAGAACGATTTTGAAACTGTATCTAATTTTTTGTAGCTCGACTGCGAAAGCCGTAATGGCGACTAACAAAAAGTATTATTTCTATTCGTCCCTTAAAACAGACGATCATACGCTGATCTACAAACATACTTGAAACGAATATTAACCGAATTAAAATCGCTGTGTTTTTCTTTTTAGCAGTTCGACATGAAACGACAGGTTTTAGCTTGCTTGTTTTGATAGCCTTAAAAAAGAAATTCCATTTTTGGTTTACTTTAGTTCAAAAGAAGCCGCTCGTGTAGTTTCTTCTTTACAGATGTATTTTCATACGTTTGAATCGATTTTAGGCATGCGAAAAATGTCGCCCCTGTCAACCATAAAGAGTAAATATTAAATACCGGAACATGTAATAAAAAAACATTCGTCGATCTTGTAAGAAAAAAATAAGAAACTTTTCATGGTTTCGTCTCCACCTTTTTTCATGGACCGGCTAAATGACTACCACACATTAGCTTGCCTTTCTCGTTTGGGTTGGGCGTTTATACCCGCATCAAAAAAACAAAAACAAAAACAAAACAAAAACAAACAAAAACCTGGGAAACATCCGCTTCAAGATCCCAAAGAAAGGAAAGATTCTTCGTTGGCTTTTATCGAGAATTTCTAAATGTGTAGCGGGAGATTTGGCAGATGAGACGCAATATAAAAAGTGGATTGACTTAAATAGGTTGACGGGAAAGATCGACCAACAACGTGGAATATTTCTGCACACATTACACAGAATTTACGTTGCTGTAGAGATAAGCGCCCCAAAGAAAGAGAGATTCAACACGGTAACTAGATTCAAAGCCATTCTGAAGTTGCAAATGGAAGACTGAATTGAAAAAATGGTGGCGATGAGAATATTATGAATAAACGAGATAGATAGATAGATAGATATAGACAGACTAAGATGGATAGATAGATAGTGAACATGCAGAGAGAGATATTGAAGATAGATAGATATCGAGAGATTAAGATGGATAGATAGTGAACAGGTAGAGAGAGAGAGAGAGAGAGAGAGAGAGAGATAATGAAGATGATAGATAGATAGATAGATATGGACAGAGTAAGATGGATAGATAATATAGTGAACAGGAAGAGAGAGAAAAGACACAGTGAAGCTACATTGCATCGGGTGGAAAGTAACTGAAGGAGAGTTGTCAGGTTAGGACCAATAAAATTGCTGATTCTTTGGCTTTTTATCAAGAATCTCTAAATGTGTAGCAGAAGAATCAGACCCGATTTGGCAGCTGAAACGTAGTATAAAAATGTATTGATTTAAATAGGTTGGCGGGAAATATCAACAAACAACGTGCAATATTTCTGCACACATTACACAGAATTTATGTTGCTGTAGTGATAAGCGCAACAAAGAAAGATTCAACACGATAACTAGATTCAATGTAATTTTGATTTTAAAATGGAGGACTGAATTTAAAAAATGGTGGCGAGCTTGCTCTGTTAAAGTAGAGAATATTATGAATAAACGAGATAGATAGATAGATAGATAGATAGATAGATAGATAGATATAGACAGACTAAGATGGATAGATAGATAGTGAACACGCAGAGAGAGAGAGATATTGAAGATAGATATATAGATATCGAGATATTAAGATGGATAGATAGTGAACAAGCAGAGAGAGAGAGACAATGAAGATAGATAGATATCGAGATATTAAGATGGATAGATAGTGAACAGGTAGAGAGAGAGACAATGAAGATAGATAGATAGATAGATAGATAGATAGATAGATATGGAGAAATTAAGATGGATAGATACTGAACAGGTAAAGATAGATAGATAGATATGGACAAAGACGGATAGATAGAAAGTGAACACGCAGAGATAGATAGATAGATAGATAGATAGATAGATAGATAGATAGATAGATAGATATGAGTTACGTCTGAAAAGTAAAAGGAATGGATGTTCTGCTTGAGCTCTGGGCGAAGGAGGGATAATTGGATTGTGCTATCATTTAACATGATACCTTGGAAGTATATTACCATAATCTTAGCATTCTGCAACCATTTGCATGTTTCCCACGTTTTGTGGCAGGTCAAATCGTGGCTGCTTCATCACGACAATTTAACTGCTCACAACGCCCTGATCATCCGGCAGTTCGTTGCTGAAAAGATCATCGCCGTACTGTAACAACCTCCATATTCACCTGATCTTGTTCCGCGTGACATTTTTCTCTTTCTCAAGCTCAAATGCATCATCAAAGGGTGGGGGGGCAGTTTTGAAGGACTATCAAGAGGGCCATAGCGACGGAATTGTGAGGCATCCAAATAGAATGGTTTTTCAGCACTGCATAGAAGCGTGGTAGAGAAGGTTGGAAAAGTGAATTAGACTCGAGGAGGTTTAATTTGAAGAGGAAACCATATAGTTTGTTGTTTGGAATTGAAATAAATATGTTTTCACTATTAATGCACTGTAACAGTTAAAATCACTTTTATTTCCCAAGTACTTTCCATTTCAGAAAGAGATGAAAAGTATCATTTGATTGTAATACTCGGAAAAATATCCGGGAATATGAACGGATTATACTTAAAATAAGCAGACATAAAGTTTATAATTTATTTAATCAGACATGCTTAAAAGAGGATTTGCTACCTAAACACACACACACACACACACACACACACACATATATATATATATATATATATATATACAGTAATCCTTAAGTTCTGATCAAAATAGAGACTATAATTGAAGGTTACTTGAAGATAGACAAATTTTGAGACATGCAATCAATAAACAACTTTTAATATTTTGAGTCATCAGATCATGAACCTGTCATTCGTTCTCATTACCCTCTTTAACTTTTGCCGTAGATCAAGGAAAATAATTTTTGTCTGCATTCGACGCTCTATTTAACTGTTTCTATATCACGTACACTGAAAATCTATTTTTTGGTTTAGCTGATCTTAAAATTGACCTCCAAAATGCGGTAAAGAATGGCTTATTAATGTTAACTCTTCCAAAATGAAATTACCCCCTATCAACCATCAGAGAGACACCTTTCTGCCTTCCATTAAGTATGGCTGATGCTAACCTCCTGAAGAGTGACTCGGTGTGCTTTCTTGGACTAAACTAAGGTTTTCCGCTATCATGAAAAATATATTGAATCAATTTCTAGATTTGCTGCTAGGAAATTTTTTTAGATCTGCTGCTAGGAAAATTTCTAGATTTGCTGCTAGGAAAATTTTTAGATTTGCTGCTAGTAAAATTTTTAGATTTGCTTCTTGGAAAATTTCTAGATTTGCTTCTAGGAAAATTTCTAGATCTACTGTTAGGAAATTTTCTAAATTTGCTGCTAGGAAAATTTTTAGATTTGCTGCTAGAAAAATTTCTAGATTTGCTTCTAGGAAAATTTCTAGATTTGCTGCTAGGAAAATTTCTAGAGCAACTTCTAAGAAAATTTCTAGATTTGCTGCTAGGAAAATTTCTAGATCTGCTGCTAGAAAAATTTCTAGATTTGCTGCTAGGAAAATTTCTAGATCTACCACTTGGAAATAGGCATATAAATATGTAATATAGATTCTGGAGATGAAAATTGTCTGGCACGTGATAGTGACCCAACTCTCCTCGCAGCATACCTAGCAATTAATTTAATATAATCTTTCTACTTTATGTCAACCGAGAATGTTAGCTCAACGAGTCAGCCATGCTGATGGAAGCCATGCGAGCAACGAGATTTTAAAGGAAATGGAGACAAAAAGGAAACTAATACGTTTCACCAGGAAGAGATAGATAGAAGGCAAGAGAGAGAAAGGAAAACAAAGCATAACACGCTTAATATACTTGAGTAAATGGACGTCAGAACAGGGTTTAGGAGAAATAACAGAAAGGCAACGTTTATTAAAAGCTACAAGAAACAGGAAGTCGTGGAGAATTATGATCACCTACGTCACGAGGAGACACGGCAAATAAAAAAGAAGAATTTACTCTAAAAATCTGCCATGAATTTTCTTTGAGCAATGAGGCCTTTCATATTTTTTAATAGAGAAGGTTTATTCTAGATCTGTGTTTCCCAACGTGGGAGCTAGAGACCCCTTGTAGGCTCTGTTATGTTGAAAAGTGGGCACTGGGAGTTTTTATTTCATTTGAGGGACAGTGAACATACACAGGGGGCGGTGGGTATTTATACATTTTTTTACTTAGATTTTAAAATATTATTCAGAATTGGCTTCAAAAGAAAATTTCTGAAAGGTCTCAAAAGCTGTGTGAAGCGATCTAACTTTTCTTCATTACTTTTCCAAACTTCCAATATGGCTGAATGTGGTTTCAACGCAGTTACACAGCTTCTTACTAAAACAAACAAACCGCCTGTAAATTACAGAACGAGATCTACGATTACTTCTAAGCAACATGGAAGCTAGAATAAGAGCTTTAGCCATTAAGCACCAAAGTCAACCATCGCATTGAAATCATTGAGATAAGTTATCACATGAACCTCTAGTAAGATCCTTAGGCAGTAAGTACCAAAGTCAACCATCGCATTGAGATCATTGAGATAAGCTATCAAATGAACCTAGAGTAAGAACCTTAGGCAGTAAGTACCAAAGTCAACCATCGCATTGAGATCATTGAGATAAGTTATCACATGAACCTAGAGTAAGATCCTTAGCCAGTAAGCACCAAATTCAACCATCGCATTGAGATCATTGAGATAAGTGTAACTGTAACCAAGGTCTGCTCATCATAGTTGCAGTATAAACCACATATGGCCACTGTGGGGGTTGAATAAACACAAAAGCACCTGAGAAAGCGTCTGCAATAGAGATTGGCTAGCCGCTCTAGTAGAGAGGTATCCTTGAATACGAGTGGCCAGGTAGAGATTGGCTAGCCGCTCTGGTAGACAGGTATCCTTGAATACGAGTGGCCAGCTATACATATAAACACTACAAGTATATCTTCGTTTGAGAATACCGAGAGTCAAATTATTGACTTTTGTAATCGTAGGGCGGACCCGAATGTAGAAGCCACACTAAATCTCCTCCACAACAGTCTATCAACGGCAACCATCAGCAATTCTGTCCAATTCACGCTATTCTTCTCTGTTTGAGGTTCCTGGTGACCCACAAATCTTTCCACTCTTTTCCGCACGAGCTCATAGGCTTTATGTTCCCATATGCTAAGGTGTTTTCTCATGCATTTGTTCTCAAACGTTTGGATCCTTCTCACTGTTTCTGCCAAAAGTGTCCACGTTTCACATCCATATAGGAGAATGGAGACTACCAGAATATAAAGTCCCAATATAAATAGTTATGAATAATTATTGACCGATTTTATCATTGTATATTTTTGTGTTTTATCAAGTATTAAGAATATAGTAACTAGCGTCCGCAAATTGGAGGAGAGAGTTATCAATGATAATTTTCTGAATTCGAATACGTGGTTATCTCCCTTTAAACCGTTCTGTTTTTTTTTCTATTTTTAAATGTACTTTTTATCACATAAAATTTGGTGAGGCGAGTACAAATTTTTCATTTTGAAAAGGCGGCCCAGAGAAAAAAAGATTGGGAAGAATTGGTCTGACCTTTAATTGTTAATCATAGAATCATTTATGGTTTACCTCGTGTATAGGAAAACAGTTTCTTTTTTGATGTGTGGATAGAATGGCAATTTTTGGTCAAGAAAGCCCTGATAGTTTGCCTGCTATGTTGATTACTGTTTAATGTACACGAGGGTAATTTTTGTTCAACGTGTATAGGCTAATAATTGTCTGAAATCAAATAGTTTGTTAATTGCAACACGTCTAGGCTTGGCCCTAGTCTTTGTTTCATGTAAATACTGACCACTATCATTAGTCACGGAATCTTATATATTTTGACTCGTGGACAGGCTGACAATTGTATGCTAAGAAATCTTTTATTGTTTGCTACGCTTCTAGGGTTGACATTTGCTTTCCAAAGAGTTGCTTAGGGATTGCTTCATGGAAAGACTGACCATTATTGTTGGTCATGGAATTATTTATGATTTGACTGGTGTATAGGCTGACCATTGCCTGCTAAGAAATCGTTTATTGTTCGTCACGCGTCTAGCTTTGAATTTTGTTGACCAAAGAGTTATTTAGCGTGTGTTTATGTAAAGATTCACCATTATCGTTGATCATCGAATAGTTTATGATTTGACTTGTGTATAGGCTGACCAATGTCTGCTAAGAAATCGTTTCTTGTTTGCTAGGTTTCTCAAATTGACCCTTCTTTAGAAAACAGTTGTTTAGGCTTTGGTTCAAGTAAAGAATGACTATTATCGTTGATCATGGAATCGTTTTTGATTTGACTGGTGCATAGACAGACCAATATCTGCTAAGAAATATTTTATTGTTTGCTACACTTCTAGGGTTGACATTTGCTTTCCAAAAAGTTGCTTAGAGATTGCTTCATGGAAAGACTGACCATTATTGTTGGTCATGAGATCGTTTATGATTTGAGTGGTGCATAGGCTGACCAGTTTCTACTAAGAAATCGTCTATTGTTTGTCAGGTGTCTCGAATTGACTCTTCTTTAGCAAAAGGTTGTTTATGTTTTCTTTCAAGTAATGAATGACTGTTATCTTTGGTCATGGAATCGATTATGATTTGACTGGTGTCTAGGCTGACCAATGTCAGCTTAGAAATTGTTTATTGTTTGCCACGCGTCTAGCCTTGATTTTTGTCGACCAAACAGTTGTTTAAGGTGTGCTTCATGTAAAGACTGACCATTATCGTTGATCTTGGAATAGTGTATGGTTTGACTTGTGTATAGGCTGATCATAATGTTCTGGTATTGGAAGCGTAATAGTAATGGTACATACATTGAATCCATCATAAAAATTCAGAATGTGGATTTAAAAGAATTTTAAACACTTCAAATAACTTGGAGTATGGATTACACATGGTTCGGTTCCTTGTAC